GGTTGCTGTGAGCTGTAATGCCATGGCACTCTACCCAGGGGGACAGCTTGAGGCTCTGTCTCAAAAAAAAAAAAAAAAGAAAAAGATGGAGACTTCTTTATGTTTACATGGATGGTGTTGGAACATATCCTTCTTAGTAAAGTATCTCAAGAATGGAAGAAAAAGTATCCAATGTACTCAGCTCTACTATGAAACCAATATATAATCATCCACACCATATGAAAGCTATAACTCAACTACAGCCCAAGATGAAGGGAGAACAAGAGGGGAGGGGAAGGGAGAAGAGAGGATGAGTGGAGGGAGGGTAATTGGTGGGACCACACCTATGGTGCATTTTACAAGGGTACATGTCAAATGTATTAAGTGTAGAGTATAAATGTCTTAACACAATATTCAAGAAAGTATGGTGAAGGCTATGTTAACCAAATTGTTGTAAGTATTTCAAATTGTATATAAAGTCAGCACGTTGTACCCTATAAATCCATTAATGTACACAGCTATGATTTAATTTAAAAAAAAAATAGAAGTAACGGGAGCTAGGAGTGAGCTGGGAACTCTGTCCGTGGTGCTGCTGCACCAGGCCCCAGCAGCCTGCATTCTCAAACAGGCACATGTTCTCTGGCTCTGGCTCCATCTGCTCCAGTCATAATGGGCTCCCTTAACTCATCTGGACAAGCCCAAGAGCCACCTCAGGGATGGTCATGGCTGGGTATTACCACCTCCACTTACAGGCACTGCAGGCCCAGTGAGGTCCCACCATGCTGTGAGCTCCGGCTATCCTATCAAAGCTTCTCCCTTTGGGTGGCCCTGTTGTGGAGGTGCTTCTGAACCAGGTGCTTCTGACCTGCCAACCAGGAGCCAAGCAATGGTCAAAGCTATGGTCTTCTGCCCAGACATCTCAGAGTCTGAGTGAAAGCAGCCCGTGAAGCCTACGCTTTCCTGGGCCTCAAACTTGAGCCAGGGGCACAGACTGGGGAGGGTCTGAGCATTGGGTGGACCATTCAGATCTCCTCCCTGGTCCCAGTCTAAGGACTGAAATCTGGGCAGCTTCCCACTGTTCTCTTCCCTCAGGGTAAGTGTTTCTTAGAGAGCTCCTTGGGTCTTGGTAGTAATGACCCCACCAGCACATTGTAAATCCCTTAGCCTCCCTGAGTCCCTGAGGGATGAGGTTTTGGCCTAGGCTGCCACGTGTGGCACTGAATGGAAGAGGGACCCCACCCCTCAGAGAAGCAGGCCTATTTCCACAGGCTCCAGGGTGACCTCTGCCTCCAGAGAGGCCAGCAGCCCTCCCCTGCAGGTGCTCTCTGAGGCCACCGCAACCCAGGGTGGGGGTGGAGACTGGAATTTGTACTTTTGCCATTGGCAGGTGTCATGGGAGGTGGCCTTGGATGGTGTAGCTGCTAGGGTCTATAGAGATAAGACCCAGGGCAGGGGAGGCTCCAGGCCCACACAGACTATTCCCCCTCCTCCATCTGAATTTAGTCCAGTGAAGGGCTTTCTCTGTTTTGTCTCCTAGTGTGGACAACTCTGAGGACCCTGTGTATGAGAGCCTGGAAGAGTTCCATGTTTTCGTCTTAGCCCATATATTAAGAAGACCAATCGTTGTTGTGGCAGATACAATGTTAAGAGACTCAGGTGGAGAAGGTAAGTTCCTCAAAGAGACAAAAAGATGTGTTCTACTCATGACACAGAAACGTAGCATCCCAGTTAAAGAACATGTGGTGTAATTTAAAGGGTGAGCTCCCGGAAGGCTACGGAGCATCACTCTGCATTAACAAAGATTGTATTCTCTCTCCTCATCTCTCCTCAACTCAGTGTGTTTCTTATCCCCACGCCCCAATGGCAGCAGGGAGTGCTCTTGGCCCCCTACTCCTGCATGTCAGCAGCAGGTGGCCATGAAAAATCTGCCCCCACCATGTGCCCAGAGCACTTGCACCCCTCCAACAGCCCTGGGCCGTGTCCCAGAGCCACTCAGCCCTCCTGCCCCCTCTGCAGGCTACATGAGTATTAAAGAGAAAAGAAAGGAAGATGGAAAGTATAGAGGCACTTGGCAGGGTTGTGGTAGAATCACAAATGGCCGAGAAAGAGGCAAGAGTAGAACCAGGTGCTTCTGACCTGCCAGCCAGGAGCCAAGCACTGTGCATGGCCCCTCCTCAAATATTCCCTCCTCTGGCCATCACCACAACCTCCCAGGGTGGACACTACTCTCCCCACTTTACAGATGAGGAAACTGAAGCCCAGAGTGCCTGAGGAATGTCCCAAAAGGGGTTCATCCCAGGGCAGAGATTGCTCCCTAAAAGCTTGTCCTCCCTTTGGCCTAAAACTTCCAGAGTGTCCCTCCAGCCCAACTTATTAACCTGTACCTTAGCAGGTTAATATAAGGTTAGTATAAATTCATGAATCTCCCAAGGAGTCCCGCAAATTAGAATGTGACCTTCTTGCTAAATCACAGCCACCGAAGAAAGCATAATAGTGGTATGGACAGGGAGCTGGTGGACACAGGCCTGCTGAGGTCCGCAGCTCCTAGGTGCAATGCTGGGACTCACACTAGGACCCTGTTGTGTAACTGTAAACCCAGGGCCACGCTCCCAGGGTTACTAGATCTCCAGGGTGTGGGGGATGCCCACAGGTCCTTCCATTTCGCCTGGCTCCCTCATGCAGGTGGGCCTTCCCCTTTCCTGTGGGCAAAGCCACACTGGCCAATTTAAACAAAGTGAGGGTAGAGAAGGTCATCAAAGGTGGCCGTGAAACTACTTGCCCTGCATTCCACCCAAAGCAGACAAGCCACCCACTGACTCTGGGGCCACAAGGCCAGATCCTTTATGACCAAAGAGCAGATGCTGCTTGGAGCAGATGTTTTCAGAATTTGCTCTATTCCAGGGAGGGTTTAGGCTGTTCTTCCTCTTTTATATGAGTAAGAAAACTAGCAAGATGGTGAGGGAACAATCACTAGAGGATCCCGTGCCTGTTTCTCACTCCCCATCTGACATGCCTCGGCGCTGGCTGGAGCTCGCTGGCTGGCCCTTGTTTGTTTCTTTGGATTCTATAGAGGAGGTTCTTAAAATATAGAACAAACACATTCCTGGAAACTCAGGTATAGTTTTGTATTCAGATGCTTTAATGAGCACTAGGAAAAGTACATCCAGGGAAACATGGGTTTCTCAGGGGATGGTGTCATTCTGACCACGTGGCTCCAATAACCCATGTGGGTCTCAGGACTGCAGGGGTCACAGGGCAGATCACCGTGGAGGCCCTCAGCGCATCCCCCAGCACCGCGTGTGTCCATCCTCCATTCCCGGGATGGTAGGGGCCAGCCCCTCCCGGCTCGGCCCTCCCACTCCTCACGCCTCACCCTCATCTGTCTGCAGCATTCGCACCGATCCCATTCGGGGGGATCTACCTGCCCTTGGAGGTCCCTCCCAACAGGTGCCACTGCTCACCTCTGGTTCTGGCTTATGATCAAGCGCATTTCTCTGCCCTCGTGTCCATGGAACAGAGAGACCAGCAAAGAGAACAAGGTATGCTCAGCTCCTGAGAGATGGTGGGCACAGGGGACGGGGTGTGGCCAGAGCCGTCAGTGGGAAGAGGGCGGTGGGCATAGGAGAGCACAGGCAGGTGGCATGTGGAGAGCTGCCCTTGAAGCATGCCTGCACACACTCAGCAGAGATGGGTTTTGCATAAAACATTGAAAATAACCAGGTTAAAGACCATGTTTAATTTAAAATACTAAACAAAGGCATAATTGAAGCACCCTGAAATAGGCTCTGCTGTCGTTCCCTTTCATACATCTGTAAGTTTCATATGGATGTAAGTGATGTAAATTTTTGTTAAAAAAAAGAAAACACCTCTTCAACAACAGGAACTGGCAAACTGCAGCCCACCACCTACTTTTGTAAATAAAGTTTTATTTACAAGGCCACATTACTCACTGAAGCACTGTCCCTGGCTGCTTTTGCTCCACAGTGCAGAGTCGAGTAGTAGCCACAGAGACTGTGACCTGTGAAGCCTAAAGTATTTACTCACTAGCGCCTTAAGAGAAGAGTTTGCCAACCTCTGCTCTAGAATGAGCTTTCAAATCAAAAGGCCAATATTTCCTTTAAAATCATTATAGCTGAGTTTCCTACAAGTACGCGTTTCAGTGCTGCTGATGGGCTGGCTGGGCTGACCCCACAAGCTGTGCCCTGCACAATTCCAGGACACCAATTAATCAATGTCTTTGCTGGGGAAATGGGATTTTGTTTGCAACAGTTAATGTTTTCTCGTGTTAGCTACTGATAGATGTGAGGCTGAGTGGAGAGGAAAAGCCTCCTGTTGCTGCTCTTGTTTCTAGTAGGAGCAGAGAATCCCCCTGAGTGGAGAGGAGCAGCCTCCTGTTGCTGCTCTTGTTTCTGGTAGAAGCAGAGAGTCCCCCTGGAGACTGAAGGACAGGCAAAATGGAAGTTTCAGGGTCCAAAATTATTACACTGGGTGTGGTCCCAGGGAACTGGAAGTGACCAGTTCCTACCAGGGGCAGGAAGCTCAGAGGTGTCTGGTTCTGATCTTTTACACTGAGCAGGTATTGTGAGAAGTAAATGGAGCCGCAGAACTGCCCCACACAGGACTCTCAGGTGCTACCCCTTCCTACAGACGTCCCGGGAGGACATAGCCCAGGGAGTGGAACCCAGCCTCCCTCCAGCCCAGAGAGGCACAGCCCAGCACATTGACTTCCTGGCATGACCAGGAGCTGGGGAGTGAGTCTGGGGCTGTGCAGGAGGAGCCGGGAGTGAGGGCAGTGCAGGGCATCGCTGATGTGCAACTGAGAGGGACCTGAGTCCCAGCAGGGCACGGGCCAGAGGCTGCAGCCAGCTGTGTTGGGAGTGGCATGTGGCCTTTCTTTATCATTTACAGACATCTCACTGGCCAAGCAAAGAGTTAATCATTAGGCCAGCGAAGTGCTGCTGTCTTTTCTGTTCTCTCTGAGTTTTGTCCAATAGAGCCTACGCCTCCTTTGTGGGTTCTTAGCTCTTCCCAGAGCTCCCCGCAGCTCTGGAGAAACAAGAGGGGCCTTTCTCAGGACCTGGGAGCCCTTTAGCCAGTCCCTGGGGCAGTCTGCGTGGTCAGAGAAAGATGACGATCCTGGGGCTGGCGTCTCCCGTTGCTGAGCACAGGGTTCGGACATCTGCCCCTCCTCACAAAGGCACACAGCTCCCTTCCAGGCCTCCCAGATACTGCTTTCTGCTTTTTGGTTTATTCAAGGTGAATATCTTCCATAAAGGGTGAATGTTGGAGGGGGAGTTACGGCTTGGCCCCTCTCAGGGGAATATTGCAGAGGGTGATTTCACCTCTGACGATGTGTTTTTCCAAAAAATGGGAGCTGGTCCCCAGGCGCCATTAGAGTAGCTGGTGTGGGCTCTTGTGTTAGCCACAAGCTGACTCAGTCCTGGGAGAGATGTGAGTCTGCACCTCCAGCACCACTGCGTGGCCAGTGTGCACATTCACCAGACAGTCCCCACCAACATCTTCAGGGCAGGTGCCAAGCCAGACGCTTTGTCACATACCTCTGTGCTCTCCAGTCCTCCCTGGGTGCCCTGAGGGGACACTGTGGGGAGAGGTCAAAGGCGCAGACTGTGCCCTCAAATCACACCACATCCCACCAAGGAAAGGGACATAGAAAGCACAGTAACCCCGCAGTTTCCAGGATGGAACCCGGCGTCCTCCAAAATAAGACACTCTTAGACCACAGTCGGAGGCCCAGGCCTGCTGGAGTGAGCTGTCCAGACTGCAAAGTCACAAGCCTGGAGGGGGCAGGAGATGGGAGACACAGGGACGGGGAGGCCCAGGATGTCCCGGGGCCCCACTGCCAGAAGTGCCACACAGCTGCCATGATATCCTGCCCTACCCAAAGGGTACCGCGTGGGGAGCACTCTGTGACAGGAGGCCCAGAGAGGCAAAGCACTTTGTCATTGTGTGTGAGGAATGACATTTTAAGATCCTAGAAATGAGAGAAAAATGCATTCTAGGATGTGAGGTGCTTCTCCCTTCTTCCCACCACTCCTTCCTCATTGTCTGTGGTCCACCGCGTCTGGTCTGCACGTGCCCAAGCTCCTGGGGACTTACCATACACGAAGCATTCTTCACACTTGCCTTCTCGTGCTGAAGCACCCTCTAGAGGAATCTGGGTGCCCTCATAGCTCCCATACTTACACTGGCCATGACTGACGCCACGACTAGCCTCTTCAAGTCCAAGCGTGTACATGGGGAGCAGGGAAGGCTTGGTACAGAAGGTCAGGAGCTGGTGGGACTGGCCACCACTGGGCAGGCTGAGTGGGCAAGCCTCTGCCAGTTCATTTTAGGACTTTGAAATAAAACTTGTATATACTTTCTTGGTAGTTTCCACAAATGACGGTCAGTTGCTTTCTCTAGGGGAGGATATTAATCCTTGGCTCCATGACACAGGAATCACCTTTCTCAGGAATCAGCCTCCTGGTGGCAGGCTCTCCCCACTGGGCCTCTGCAGCCTTGTCCTAATATGGCTTCTGGATGCCCTCTGTAACATAGAGCTGGATGTTCCCTCAGAGCCAAGCTCACAGCAGTTCATACTAGCCACTGAGCAGACATGTACGTTAGGGAAAATCAAACCAATTAACAAGAGAAGAGGTCCCACGTGGCTGGCGGACACACAGAAACCATGGGAAGAACTCCGGAAATCATGTAACCCAACAGACCCCACTCCCCTGCTCTTCACAACTGACATTGTCCTGTGTGCTCTTTGTCACCCTAAAATGGAACTCATGAATAGATAATATTATCTATTGTGGAATAAAGTCAGTTGACTATTCTGACATCAGGAGAAACAAAAAGAAACCAGTCTGTGATAAAATAATCTCCATTTCATTCTGTAAATGCTGTGCACGGCTGGACCATAAGCCTCAGTGAAGCAGTTAGCCCTGGAGGTGGCTTCCCGGTCGTCCGAGCACAGCAGGACTTGGTAGACAGGACTCTACAAGGCCACAGACTTCTCAGCCCAGAGCAGGGGTCAGGAATTCTTACTCCTTTTCCCTCTGCATTGGCCAAATTCCACATCATTGGGAGGACTGACATGTATGCATAAACCTGTACATACATGTTTTAAGGTAGCTATGGAATAGCCAAAAACTAGAAACAACCCAAACATTCTTCCTAGGTGAATGGTGGAATGAGCCGTAGTCCATCCACACCCTGGGACACTGCTCGGCAGAACACCCACAGTGACCTGAATGTGTCTCAAGGGAATTAGGCTGAGGGAAAAAAGCCCGTCCCAAAAGATTACATACTATATGTTTCTAGTTACAAGCATTCTTGAGAAAACACAATTCTTGAGATGTGAGAACAGATTAGTGGTGGCCCTGGATTAAGAACAGAGAAAGGGTGGCAGAGCAAGGTGGGTGTGCATGAAAGGGAAGCATGTAAGGGACCCACATGGTGACGCAGCTGTTCTGGGTCTCAATCTAAGTCTATGTGTACAACAAAATTGCATAGAGCTAACTAGACACAGATACAGATGAGTGTGTGTGAAACTGGTGTCATGTGAATACAACCAGCAGAGGCTATCACAGTCGGCACCCTGGTTGTGATACTGCACTGCAGTTAGCAAGGTGTTAACATGGAGAGGCTGGGAGATGTGGACCTCCCTGAAGTCCATCTCACAATTGGCTGTCAATCTACAACTGTCTCACAATAGGAAGTTCAATCTGCTCTAAATATGAAGCCTGTACTGACAAGCAGGAATATTAATGATTGAAATTATTAAAAAGCCTAGTTTACCAATTTTCCTAACTACTTAAAATATAGATTAGGGGGAGCAATTTGGATAATCCATTCTGGGTCTTTTCCCAAGAAGCAGCTTTTGTTCTGATTTTTGTTCACTACATTTCCGATTTAGTTTTATTGATTTCTGTTCTTATTGACGTTATTTCCCTCTGTGATTTGTGTTTCATTTGCTATTATTTCCCTAGTTTCTCAAGGCAAAAATTTAGATTACTAATTTGGGACGCCCTAAAGCACTGCTGTAGCTACACCACACAAATTTTGACAGGTCATATTTCCATTTTCGTTCTATTCAAACTATTCTTTAATTTCCATGAGGTGGCTTCTGTCTCAGGGGTTATTTAGAATCAGGTTGTTTAAATTCCAGATATTTGTGGATTCTTCAAATGTTTTCATTGGTTTATATGACCCAAGAACATATTTTTATTTCTAGTCTTTTAAATGTGCTAAGATTGGCTAACTGTGTGCTCTAGGTCAGTGAATACTCCATATACACCTGAGAAGCATGTGTATCCTGCTCTTGTGAGTTCTATAAATGTCAATTAGCTCAAGTTCACTGGTAGTGTATCTCAGGTCTTCCATGTCCCTCCCTGATTCTCACCTACTTGCTCTGCCAGTTACCAAGAGAAAAGTGGTGACATTTCTGACTATAATGTTTGTCATGTGTTTAGTATTTAATTCATATATAGTACTTTGAAGCCAAGTAGGAGCATGCACATATATGGGATTATTATGTCTTCTTGGAGATTTAACTCCTTTATCACTATGTAACATTCCTCTTTTGTGTGTTGGTAACAGCCTTATTCTAAAGTTTACTTTGTGTGATATGAGTGTGGCTACTCTAGCTTGATTTTTATTACCGACTATCTTTTAACCAATCTGTGTCTTTATAATGGAGTTCTTGTAGGCAGAACACACTTGGGTTTCACCTTTTAATCCAGTCTGATAATTTATCTCTTGATATGTCTTGAGCCTTTACATTTAATAGTATTAATGATGATCGGATTAAAATTTGCCACATTGCCAGCCCTTTTCTCTTGTTTGTTTCTGTTTTGCTGTCTTATTTTAGACTGATATTTTTAGTGGTTCCTTTTTATCACCACTATTGATTTCTTATACATCTATTTGTTAATAGTTTCCTAACTACTAAGGTTTACAATACACACCTTTAATTAATGAGATTCTATTTTCAAGTACTATTATTCTACTTCATGTGTTGTGTCAGGATATTATGATTGTGTTCCCAACCCCAACTCTCATCTTTTGTGTGAATTACCAGACATTGTATTTTTACATCTGCTAAAAACACAAAATGCACTGATGCTCTTTGCTTTAAACAGTTATTTCTCAGAGAAATGAAAGTAAGAAAAAAAGAATTTTATTTTCACATTCTTGATTCCATTTCCATCACTCTTAATTGTGTAAATCCAAGTTTCTGCTGGTAGCTTATTTCTTCCACCTGAAGAATTTCCTTTAATATTTCCTATAGGACAGGTCTACACACAATGAATTTGTTGATTTTTGTTTGCAAAAGTCTTTATATCTTCTTCATGTTTCAGAGATATATTTGCTGGGTATAGAATTCTAGATTAACAGGTTTTTCTTTTAGCACTTTAAAGATATCAATCATTATCTTTTGGCTTACCTGTTTTATCATGAAAATTCCACTGTAATTCTTATCTTTGCTTTTCTCTATATAATGCATTTTCCCCCCTCTGGCTGCTGTAAAGATTTTGTCTTTGTTTGGGGGTTTCAGAAGCATAGGAATATTTTTGTTATTATTTTTCCTCCTTGGTGTTCTCTTAGCGTCTTGGGTATGTGTTGGTATTTGTCACTAATGTTGGAAAATTCTCAGCCAATTTTTCTTTGTCTTTTTTCTCTTTTCTCCTTCAAGGATTTATCTTTACATAGAACTTGGGCTATTTGATATTGCTCCTCAGCTCTTAGTGCACTGTTCTGTGTCTCACCACCTTTTTTCTCTTTGTGTTTCAGTCTGGGCAATTTCTATGGTCTATCTTAAAGTTCACAGGTTCTATTATCAGTTGCGTAAAGTCTACTGACTGGCCCCTCAAGGTCATTCTTCATCATTATTATCCTACTTTTTTTCCCCTAGCATTTTCATTTAATTCTTTCTTGTAGATTTCTTCTCTCTGCTGAAATTAACCATCAAATCCTGGATAGTATCTACCATTTCTATTTGAGTCTTTAAATTATTAATCAGTTGTTTAAAGTTCCTTGTCTGTTAGTTTCAACACCTGAGTCTTATTCTGTCAGCTGCTTTGTCTCTTGTCAATATATACAGTTTTTGTTTTTTCTTATTCCTCATAGTTTTTGGTTGAAAGCCAAATACCTTGAGCAGGATAGTAAAGATTGTGGTATATCACTTTTATTCTGGGAAGAGACATTACTTTCTTTTTTCTAGATTTAGAGTTGGATTTGAATCAATCTAGTCAGGACAACTGAGGAAGGTCACCTCCCTCCACACATCCAGGAATACAATTGCCTGCCTAAGACAGAGGCTTAATCAGAGTAACAGAGAACATTTCCCTTAGTGCACCCAGAGTGTGTCGCCACCCTACCCTCTGCAATTTAAGCTTTTGTTCCTCAGTAGAGATAGGAGAGAAAGATCTCTGGAGGATATTTTCTCAGCATTCTTGCCAATCTCTTTTAGAAACACTAGGTTAGGTTCTGTGGAGAGGAGCCTGCAAATACATGTGAATTTCCTTTATATCTTCAGCCCCTAGGTTCCTATTAATATATTATTAACTAGCTGATGCTCTTCCTTTAACAAATTGACAATTTTAGCTGAATTCTTTTCACTGGGTCTAACCGAGACAACTCCCCCCCCCCTTAACATCATGTCTTGGGTGCACCTGACTTTCCTTAGATGTGGGGCTAGTTGGTTCCCATTGACTTCAGCCCTCTGATGGGTTAAAGAGATGTTGTGAATCTGCAGTTTGTCTGACTTCTTGTCTCAGTGGTGGAATAAGCCCTTCCAGCTTTTCACATCCCAAAGAGAAATTAGAAATTTCCATTCTTTTTCTGGAAAGTAAATAGTCAAAATATGTCCAGGCTAGTGTTAAGATGGTATGTTCCCTAGTTAAAAGACAAGAGAGTGTTTTCAAAGCAGACAAACAGAAAACAAAACAAAACAACAAAAGCCCTACCCTTCCAGGCCTATTTTGAGAAGCACGTACTGTTCTTGGCATGTGTCACCAAGGGCCACCCACTACATGGGTAGAGCCAGGTTGGCAGTAGGGAAATGTCATGTGTATGGCCTGAGGCACAGGCATCCAAAGACAGGGATACTCCAAAAGAAGGCCTATTTCTGCAGCCTCCCTGGCCTGTACTGTCCCTGGGCTCTCCGGCCCCTGCAGCCACAGCCCTCCTCCCAGGCCTCAGCTGACACTGTGTGTGTCTCCAGTTGGGAGCAGGCACATCCCTAGAGGCTCTCTCAGTGCCTGGCCTTCATCCCACCAAGACCCAGGCTGAGAGCCTGCTAGGACCCACTGTGTGGGCAGACACTCGCACCATCAGGTCCATACTCAAGCCAGGGGCAGCCCAGGAGTTCCCAGGAGCCCCAAGGTGAGGGCAACAGGATTATGGTATTGTCCTAAGTTTATCTGAAGCAAATCACAATCACAGTGGCTTAACACAGAAGCTCAATTCCTACACGAATAGGGTCTTGAACAGGCGTTCTTGATTGGCAGGCGGCTCTTCCACACGGAGACGAGGAGGCCACTCCTGTGTCTTACAGCACTACCGTCTTCTGCAGGTGCCACAGGAGGAGAGTGGGGGAGAGGGCCCCCCAAGCCTAACCATGTCACCCAGGACTGCCCACATGACTTCTGCTTATAGCCCATGGGCGTAGTTGGGAACCTGTTTCCTTGTGCATACTGGGGTGGGAGGGGGAAGCTGGGAAATGGTCACAGCCGGGCAGGTGCTTTCCCTGGCAACTCTATCCTGGGAAGTGGGTGGCCAGCCAGACCTGAAAAGCCCAAGTTGCACCCACAGGAATGGCTTCTAACAGATTATTATTGTTCTAGAACAGTATTTTCCAAATCTGCCTGATCTTGAGAATGACAGGGGATGCTTATGTAAAATGTACTCTCCCGGCACACTCCAGCTTGGCCCATCTGTGCATGGGGGCCAGAAACTCCAAGGAGCTGTGCTAAGCTAACAAGTCTGGGAAACAATGTTGAAGGGGAAAGCCTCTGCTACCACCCCACCACCAACAATGGGTAGGAAGCCAGGCTGACTCCTGACCGGGTGGTGACTCATGAAAGGATGGGACAGGCTGCTGGACATCACCCAAGACAGGCCTGTCCAGGAGCCAGCCCTGCAGCCCTCCCTGGGTGTGTCCACCCTGCAGTTTAGCCCTGGGAAGGCTACCACACTGAGGCAAAACCTAGCAGATTGCAGCCAAAGCAGGTTGAGCCACCCCTGATCTCCCAAAGCAGGCCCTGAGCAGTCCCAAATTAAATGAAAACCCCTAAGCAAAGCTGTGTTTCCCTTATATGGGGCCAGGTGGGGGGTGGGGGTTGCAAGGAGAGTATTTGCATTTGCATCTTCTCTGACAACACTGGAGGGCAGCATTGAGTCAACTGTTCCAATTTCTTAGCAAAAAGTAAATGCTATTCAGCCTTAGATTTTATGTTATTTATTTGCCTTTTTGTTCTTGCCTGTAGCACTCTTTCCATGGGTCCTGGGCTCAGCCAAGGAGCATGGCAGCTGGCCAGAGGTCCGGGGCTGTGTTTCCCTGCTATGGTGTTATTCCTAGGAGTGGGGCTTGCAGGGGAGCTAAGTGGAGCCCAGAGAGGAGGCTGCTGCATGCTTGGAAGGCATAATTGGGAGTAGGATCTCCCCACTTCTTCTGCTCATCCCTGACAAGGCCCTTCGGAAGAGCCAGCCCAGCCATGTCACTAGGGACCCCCTCTCACTGGGTCCCACAGAAGCTCCTAGCAGATCCCAAACAAACCTGTAGATAACCCCCTCCACCCCAGCCCTCTGGAGTAAGCCAACTTCCCACGGGTGTTTCACTGAGGAGATTTCGTGATCCATCAGTCCTCCTCACTGCAGTCCCCACACCTCATCGAAAGGCTCCTCTGCCCCACCCTAGAAAGCTGTCCCCATCACTGCTTTTTCTGCTGCTGACCCTTTCAGGGCTCATCACTACCTGACATCATGAGGTGTTTGCCAACCTGCTTATCCATCCACAGCACAGATCAGCTCGCTGTGGGCCCCGGCTGGGCCTGTCCCTGGATCCTAGGCACTGATACAGACATGCTGCAAGAAATCACAAGCCAGTAGAGGTCAGCACCAGCCTTGCTCACCTGACTTGCAAACTCACTCATCCTTCTATGGGATGAGGTTGGTGGCCTCACATGGGGCATGGACCCCATCCAGGTCCCTTCTTGGAAATCACAAAATCAGCAATAGCGTTTACTGTCCTGATGCCCAGTGAGCTCTCTGCCATTGGAGTCCCCTTCCTGCCCCCTGGGGATATTGGGGCTCCCAGCACCGCTCCCTCTCTTCTGTTCCAGCCGTAATTCCTCTGACGGATTCTGAGCACAAGCTGCTGCCTCTGCACTTTGCAGTGGACCCCGGCAAGGACTGGGAGTGGGGGAAAGACGACAACGACAACGCCCGGCTGGCCCAGTAAGACCCTACTCTGCAGCCCCTCATTACCCTGGTCTAGGGAGAGATGCTGCTGGGGCTTTCTGGGCAGGGCTAGACCCCCTCGCTCCTCCTGGGATGGCAGGCATGCAGGCAAGTGGGCAAGGGCCAGGTCAGAGCCCAGTTCACTAATGTTCTTCTTTCACCAGCCTCATCCTGTCACTGGAAGCCAAGCTGAACCTTTTACACAGCTACATGAATGTGACTTGGATCCGGATCCCCTCGGAGACCCGGGTGAGCCTGGCATACCCGAGTGGGACCTGGGGGTGGGGTCAAGGCCACTCAGCTGGAGCCTGGCTGGAGTGCATCCTCCCACAGGCTCCCAAAAGCCTGCATGCTCTAGCTGCCCACTCCCAGCTGCACATACAGCCCAGGAGCTCCTCCCACCCCCTGCCCTAGCTGTCCCAGCTGCGCATGGGACACCCTGGCTCTTGTTTGAAGCAACTCTGGACATTGTGGTACATGTGTGCACGCATGTGTAGGTGTCGCGTGTGTAGGTGTAGGTGCTCATGAGCATAAACTCCAGCCAGAGGATTTTTGTCCCAAATTTCTGCAAAGAGGAATAAACACGCCCACTCAGAAAATAAACCGAAGGCAAGTCACAACACAAAACTCTTTCTGCTGAGATCGGAACACGATGTGCTGCCGCAGAACGGAATTAATTATAAACTGTGTGGGTCCTCAGAAACACCAGGGAACCAAGACTGCAATTCCTCGCGCCCCCTTCTCCTCCCCACGTGCACATAAAGGTGGTGGGCTGGTAGGTAGAGCTGGCAGGACAATGAGAAGAGGACCCACCCACCCCAGGAGGCACCTGCCTCCACCCCCAGAGGGTGGGTGCTGTCCCTGCTTGCAAATGCCACATCTGACTGATGTTTTGTAATCTTACTAGTAAATTCTCAGGGGAAAGGACTTGTAAAAAATTATTACTTACAAATAATTGGTCCTCCTAGACATCAGTTTACTTAGGCATAAAGCAGGGCTCACAAGGAATTATTCAGGGAGTGATGTGAGTAGCCAAAGTCCCACAGTTCCTGGCACAGGCAGTGCCGCACAGCAAGCTCTCAGACCTCAGCCTCCATCTTCACAGGGCTCCAGGAGCCAGGTACTAGTACCCCACTTTCCTGATGGTGCAAGTGACAGCCTGTCAGGGGCAGAGTCTGAGTCCTGCCTTCCAAAGGCCTGGAGTATGCCGGAGGTGCTGTGGATGTTTTTTCACCACTACATGGGGCCTGACGGCAGCAGCTCTAGGTCCAAAATCAGATGGCTCCTGGGCTGAGAATGACTCTGCCCTGCAATAAGCAGGGCCCTGGCCAGACTTTGGTGGCCTCCAAATCAGATGCAAGGCTCTCAGCAAGAAGCCCTCGTGAGGATCCTTCCCAGTGGGGGTCCTCATTCAACTGTGCTCACAGTGAGCTCCTAGCACCAAGCACATCCCCGTGTCTCTGCCACCCCAGTTTGAGACCTTTTGCTCCTTCCAAACCTAGGTAGGAATGGGGAAGTAAGAAATTTCAGAATGGGAGGTGTTGAAGGCCTGTTCTTCTCACCTTTACTTCTTGGTGACCTGGTTGCAGGAAGGTCACTGTCTCTTGGACTGGCTTGGCAGGGGAGAATGAAAATAAAACCTTTGGGAGGGGCAACAGGCCCCCTCCCAGGAGGCCTGGAAAGCCTTTCAGGTATGAGCAATAGTTTCTGCCATACCCAGCTGCTGGAATCAAGGACCCTCCCCTTTGTTTAGGGACAATCGGTTGAGAAATTCTCTCCTCTCCCAGGAAGGTACCTGCACAAAGCAGCAATAGATTCTGCCTGTCCTCTGTAGCCACCCACCCCCTTTTCTCAGGCTCCTCACCAGCCGTCCTCTGACTGGCTGGACCCAACCAGTGGGTCTCATCAGAATCGTACAGAGAGACAGTCCCAGGCCAGTGTCCCCCACCCCCACCCCATCCCCCTGCAGAACTCTTCTGGGAATGAGAACATCTTTCCTGCCGAACCCAGGCCTGTTTCAGAACCCTTCTCAACTTAGCACTCTACACTGCTAAACTGAGACGGGAACCCTAAGGTGCTGTGTCGTCACTAAATCCAGGGAGGAATTGTTCCAACGTCCAGTTGGTGAAGCTGTGAGGGCACAGTTTCCATCCCCTAGGTGGGGTGAGGAGGTGAAACGCCTTTGTAGGAAGGACATTTCTGTGCGAGTTAGTTCTTCCCAACAGAAAGCCGCCACCTTAGGGAGCGGCCTGCCTGGCGCCTATGTCCGCTCAAGTAGGCAGCTGCGCCGGGTCTCGGAAGCTCAAAGCCAGGTGAGGTATACACACACTGCTTCATTCCCGCACTCTGAGTTCTAGGCTACCAGGCACCAGAGTGAGAGAGGGAGGGAGAGAACGCAGATCAAAGGCCCAAGGCCGCACCTTCCAGAAGCCCCTCCGGGTCCCACCACAGCAGCACATGACCCACTTGTGTCCGCTGCTTTCCCTCAAGCAGCTCCCATCCCAGCGAGGGACTTAGTCGCGGCTGGGACAGTGAGGTCAGTCTCCCTCGGCCTACCCAGGGATACCTCTTCTCTAAACCACCTTCTTTCCTTGCGCTCCCTCTCTCTGAACAGGCGCCCCTGGCGCAGCCAGAGTCCCCTACGGCCTCCGCGGGGGAGGACGTGCAGTCCCTGGCCGACTCGCTGGACTCAGACCGCGACTCAGTGTGCAGTAATTCCAACAGCAATAACGGCAAGAATGGCAAGGAGAAGGAGAAGCAGCGCAAGGAGAAGGACAAGACCCGCGCGGACTCGGTGGCCAACAAGCTGGGCAGCTTCAGTAAGACGCTGGGCATCAAGCTGAAGAAAAACATGGGCGGCCTCAGCGGCCTGGTGCATGGCAAAATGGGCCGTGCCAACTCAGCCAACGGCAAGAACGGGGACGCGGCCGAGCGCGGCAAGGAGAAGAAGGCCAAGTCGCGCAAGGGCAGCAAGGAGGAGTCAGGAGCGTCGGCCAGCACGTCGCCATCGGAGAAGACCACGCCGTCGCCCACGGACAAGGCGGCTGGCGCGTCGCCGGCCGAGAAGGGCGGCGGGCCGCGGGGCGACGCCTGGAAGTACAGCACGGACGTGAAGCTGAGCCTCAACATCCTGCGCGCCGCCATGCAGGGCGAGCGCAAGTTCATCTTCGCCGGCCTGCTGCTCACCAGCCACCGGCACCAGTTCCACGAGGAGATGATCGGCTACTACCTGACCAGTGCGCAGGAGCGTTTCAGCGCCGAGCAGGAG